CGCTGTCCGCCCCCCCCCCCCATTTCCCCCCACCCCTAAGAAGCCCCACTACCTGCCTCTAGTGACAATGGATGTAGCACCAGCTTCCTGTGGGGTGGACGGATGTCCTGCAACTGCGCGCCACTTCTGGAGTTTCAGGAAGTGCGCTGACTGGTCCCCCTCCCCCAAAACAGCCTGCACAGTACCTGACCCAGGAACTTCCTACATGGGGAGCAGAAGATAGGAGTCCCCGGAGGAGGCACGTGGACTTCCCTCCTCTGTGGGAGAGGGGAAGGAGGAAAGAGGGAGAGGTAGGAGTTCCCAGAGGAGGCATGTGCCAGAATGTGCCTCCTCTGCAAGGGGAAGGGGATAGGAGTCCCTGGAGGAGGCAAGTGCTGGGGACTCCCTGTGCAACTCTTGCGCAAAATAGTTCTTGCGCAAGCCCCCATCTGGCCGCAGCATCATAACATTCTTGTACCACCCACCCTGACCCCACAAAGCCCCTGCCTTATGCCCCTGTCTCTCTCATCCCTAGACTCCTGCACTCCCACATCCCCAGTCTTCTACCACAACACTCCTGCACCATCCACACACTGCAAATCTGTGTCTTGATCCCATGATACTCACAGCCTCCCTGCCCTGGGCCTCTCATGAACCCCAGCCCAAACTCCCGAACCCTCACAGCCACAAGCCTGTGGCTTTCCTTGTCCCCAACCCCAACACTCTTCAGCCTGCAGCCTCCTGCCCAAGCCAGCATCCCCTTCACCTCCTCCTGCATTCAAATTCCCTCCCAGAGCTTGCACCTTTCACCCCCTCCCACACCCAAATTCCTCATTCCCACCCCAGAGCCCACACCTCCAGTCTCAACCCAGAGAGGTCCCATGATACTCACAGCCTCCCTGCCCTGGGCCTCTCATGAACCCCAGCCCAAACTCCCGAACCCTCACAGCCACAAGCCTGTGGCTTGCTCAGTACCCCAACCCTCCACCTGATCCCAACACTCCTCAGCCTGCAGCCTCCTGCCCAAGCCAGCATCCCCTTCACCTCCTCCTGCATTCAAATTCCCTCCCAGAGCTTGCACCTTTCACCCCCTCCCACACCCAAATTCCTCATTCCCACCCCAGAGCCCACACCTCCAGTCTCAACCCAGAGAGGGTACGGCTAGACTGCAGGCTATGTTTACACTGGCGGGTTCTTGCATAACAAGCCTCAGAGTGTCCACACAGCCCACCTGCTCTTGCACAAGAAGATTTACAGTAAAGCATGGGAAGAGAGGGCTTCTTGCACAAGAGCTACAGTCTTTTCTAACAAGTGTAAGCTCTCTTGCGCAAGAACTCTTGCACAAGAGGGCAGTGTGGACGCATGGCAGGGGTTTCTTGTGCAAGAAAGCCCTATGGCTAAAATGGCCATCAGAGCTTTCTTGTGCAAGAGAGCGTCCACACTGCCATGGATGCTCTTGCACAAGAGCACATGGCAGTGTGGACACACTCTTGCGTAAGACCTTTTGCGCAAGAACTCTTGCACAAAATATTTCTTGCGCAAGCAGCCTGTAGTGTACACGTAGCCTAAGTGTCTACGCTAGAATTTCACTCCTGTTGACAGAATTGCCACACTATGGCTATGTCTACACTGGTGAGTTCTTGCGCAAGAACCTGCAGAGCGTCCACACTGCCCGCCCACTCTTGTGCAAGAAGATTTACAGTATGGAGTCGGAAGACAGAGCTTCTTGCGCAAGAGCTACACTTTTTTCTAACAAGTTTAAGCCCTTTTGCGCAAGAGCTCTTATGCAAGACAGCAGTGTGGATGCGTGGCAGGGGTTTCTTGCACAAGGAAGCCCTATCGCTAAAATGGCCATCAGAGCTTTCTTGTGGACAAGAGTGTCACGCTGACATTGATGCTCTTGTGCAAAAGCACATGGCAGTGTGGACATGTTCTTGTGCAAGAATTCTTGCATAGGAACTATTGTGCAAGATGTTCTTGTCCAAGAACCCACCAGTATAGACATAGCCCAGGAGACTTTTTCTGGGATAAACTCTTCTGCATCTAGAGACATGTTTGTTGTTCTGCTTTTTTTAGTGGAAAAGCAAACATTCTGAATAAGGGGGCTTCCGAAAGAAGGTTTTTTTCTGACATTTGGCCCAGTCAAGACAGTATAAAAAAAAGCGGCAGTGTAGCCGTATCATGAGAGTGTATAAGGGCTGGGGATAGCAAGTGATGGAGAGGAGGAGAACAGAGGGCGGGGCTTCAAGGAGAGGGTGGGGTTTTGGGGGAAGGATGGGGTGGTAGATCTGGAAGGGGTGGGCTCTTGGTGGAAGGATGGAGTAGATCTTGGGTTGTTCTGACATTTAAAAAGTGATCTTGGGTGTAAAAAGTTTGGAGAATGTTTTAACCTAATGGAAATGCACGGCATTGGCAATGACAGCTGTTGAATCAGATAGTATTTGAAAAAAACCTCTCTTCTGCTTCTTGGGACTGTAATTTGCTAGTACCAAGGCATTGCCTGAACGGTAATCAGGAGTTTATGCTTATGCTTCAAAATTAACTCAATGTAAATTAAGTCAATGTACAGTCACCACAGAAAGGAAATAGATTTTGAATATCCACCTTGTGCTCCTTGTGTCAACACAGTACATGCCCTCACTCACACCACCTGCCCTGATGCCACAAGTAGTGCATCCTCACTAAGTATCCCACTATGCAATTCATCACCATTTAGCACAGGGTATTTTGGAAAGAGATTGTAATGCATTATGAGGGCAAAAATTGTGCAGGGATGATTTGGAACATGGTTTCAGCACTCCAGGATGCAGTTTACTCCATCCTGTAATATCTGCATTCCAGAATGTTTTGTTCCACTTTTAAAAAACCTGCACATCTCCCATTTCTGGGAGAAGTGTGGCTCCTGCAGAGTTCTGCACTACTGTGATAATTGTCGCCACAATGCTCCTGATCGTGCAGCATTTCCAGAGCTGTGGGAGGAGCATCAGGAAACAGGATGATTCCTTGCAGGCCAGCTTGTTGTGTACCATGGAAAGAAACAATTCCAGGTTGTTATTGGCAGTCCTGGAGCAGCTGTAGATGGTGATGTACCACTTCGGGGCTTGAGAAACAAGCGCTGACTGGTGGCCTTGCATCATTAAGTAAGGATGGGATCGTGAACAATGGCTTGTAGAACTCTCGGACGGGCAAGGTCACATTCCTGGAATGGTGTGCAGCACTCACCCAGCCCTCCACCACAGTGACAACAACATGAGAACTGCACAGGTGCTGGAGAAGTGAATGGCAGTTGTTGTGTGGAAGGTTGCAACAACAGATGGTAACCAATCCATTGTGAATCAATTTGGAGTTGGGAAATCCACTGTGGAGAGTTGCAGTCATGAAGTGTACAGAGATATTCATTGTTTCCTGCAACACCAGACTATGACTCTCAGTGGCATGCAGGACATAGTGGATGGTTTTGCAACAGTGGAGTTCCTGAACTGAAGTAGAGCAACAGATGGCACACGTATCCCATTATTCTGGCATCACAGCCCCTTGCCAGAGTACCTCACTGGGAAGGGCTCCTTTTCTATGGTAACACAAGCTATGGCAGAGCACTGGAGAAGTTTTCCAACGTCAGTGGGGGTTGTCAGGGAAGTTGCATGGCACGTGCAGAAAGCTCCAAGCAGCGGTTTCATTTCCAGAACAGAGGGACGATCAACAGCGATCCTGGAGATCTAGCCTATATCTTACTTCTTTGGCTTAGGAACCCATACACTGACCATCTCAACAGCGGCATGGAGCACTGCAGCCAAGGGCTCAGGAGGTGCAGAATGGCAGTTGAAAGGGCACTGGCACTGTCTGCCCACAAGATCAGAGCTCAGTGGGATAATATCCCCACAGTTATAGGCGATTGCTATGCACTTCATAATAGCTGGGAAGCAAAGGGGGATATATTTCCACTGGGATGGAAGCGGAAGGTCAACTTTGAGCAGCCAGATACCAGGGCTATGGCAAGAATTCATCAGGGCTCTGGACACCTCCAGGAGGTTTTGAGAAATGCTAATCTACGACTCATTACTAAGAAAGCTGCCCGATGAAGAATGAAAGATGAAATAGAGACTGAGCAAAGGGGAGAGGCGGGTTTTGAGAAATGCTAGTCTATGACTCATTAGTAAGAAAGCTGCCCAATGAAGAATGAAAGACAAAATAGAGACTGAGCAAAGGGGAGAGGCAATGAACGTCACTGTCACCTGTGTGTTTCTGTTCCATGGAGAGAGGAGTTCCAACCACAAAGCTATATCCAGATGTGAACTGGATTCCAGAGACCTCAGGGTTCAAAGCCCTTTTGGATCAGTGGATTGGTTTCATGCCTGTCTCCAAATTGGCACAGTGTTGCCATTCAAACCCTTTCAGATAGGCTCTTCCCTTATACAGGATGGCCATTTAACTAGGACTTTAAGTTTCCCATAGGGTGGCTCAACTAAGTGGTTTCTCCACTATGTAATATGGGCAGGGAAGTTGCAGATAGATAATAATTATCTCACAGGCTCCCAGTCTCATCTCCCTCATTCTGGATGGCTGTCCTGGTCGGTGTGAGAACCAAGGACTATCATTTGCTGACTGAAGAGAGAGACTCAGCTAGCCATCAATGAAACACAGGAGCTAAGAGAAGAGGGTCTCACTGGACACTGTATTTTGAATGGTGCTGAAATCCAACAGCTGAAATCCATCTAGGGTTCTCTGTCTTAGAGGAGCTGCTCACTCCCCTACCAAGGACAGAAGACAGACACTCCAAATGAGTGCCTTGGGGAAGTTGAATCCCCTTCTTAGAGATTTGAGTTACCAGGTCCCTGCCCCCCTGAGATTTTCGCCACTTAATGCATGCCCCAAAGATATCAGTGCCAGAATGCTTCTTACCCAGAGATTTTGGGGTTACAGCCCAGGACACTGTTTTCCGTCCATTCACACAGAGACAATAAGATTCTTCTTCCTTCTCCACAGGGGTAGCCCGGAAGTCGGCAGATGGAGCCAGTGACACCCTGACCTGTCAAGTGTCCAGAGAAGTGTCATTGGGAAGGGGGGACAGGGAAATGATTAGTAATTAGAGATGCAGACAATACAGCAGACGGGGACATAAGGGGTTGAGAGAACACTAGGGTATAGAAGTGAAGATGGGCAGTGAGGGACACCCTAGGCTAGTGAGTGGCCCTCCATTTCAGTGGGCCGCAAGATTGTCATAACCAAGGTGGTCTCCCAGGATAGGGTAGTTTTGCTAAATGCACTTGTGTAGCTAGAATTTGTGGTATATCATAGAATACAGGGCTGGAAGAGACCTCAGGAGGTCATCAAGTCCAGCCCCCTGCCCAAGGCAGGACCAATCCCAACTAAATCAACCCAGCCAGGGCTTTGTCAAGCCAAGACTTAAAAACCTCTAGGGATGGAGATTCTACCACCTCTCTAGGGAACCCATCCCAGTGCTTCACCTCCCTCCAAGGAAATAGTTTTTTCTGAATGTCCAACCTAGACCTCCCCTACTGTAATTTGAGCCCATTGCTCCTTGTTCTGCCATCCGTCATCACTGAGAACAGCCTTTCTCCATCCTCCTTGGAACCTCCCTTCAGGGAGTTGAAGGCTGCTATCAAATCCCCCCTCACTCTTCTCTTCGGCAGACTAAAACCTGAATCCCTCAGTCTCTCCTCATAGGTCATATGCTCCAGTCCCCTAATCATTTTGGTTGCCCTCTGCTGGACCCACTCCAATGCATCCACATCCTTTCTGTAATGTAATCACTTTCAGAACTGGACACAATACTCCATATGTGGCCTCGCCAGAGCCGAACAAAGGGGAATAATAACTTCTCTGGATCTGCTGGCAATGCTCCTCCTAATACACCCTAATATGCCATTAACCTTCTTGGCTACAAGGGCACACTGTTGACTCATATCCAGCTTCTCATCTACTGTAATCCCCAGGTCCTTTTTTGCCAAACTACTATTTAGACAGTCAGTCCCCAGCCTGTAATAATTCTTGGGATTCTTCCGTCCCAAATGCAGGACTCTACACTTGTCTTTGTTGAACCTCTTCAGATTTCTTTTGGCCCAATCCTCTAATTTGTCTAGGTCACTCTGGACACTATTCCTGCCCTCCAGCGTATCTACCATTGGTGTAGATCAAGGGTGGGGAATCTAAGGCCTGGGAGCTGGCTGCAGCCCCTGAAGTTCAGGCTCTCTCCCCAATATTGAGGAGACTGTGCTGGCGCTCCAACCACTTCCCTTCGGGGTTGGAGCACACAAAATGCACTAGGCTGGGCCCCCCTAGGTTCTTGTTTGTGAGGAGAATGTGGGAAATGTCTTTCTCCTTCTCATTCAGGGCCATGTCAGTGAGGGTTTGTTTTAGGCGGGTTGTTTTGTTTTGCTTCTCACTTGTGAGAGGCTCCCAACTAATTCTTCTGTGGGGCAGTGACCCCCAAAGCAAAAATGTTCCCTACCTCTGGTGTAGAGGTTTGGAGTGACAGGGATTTGGAGTGCCTGGAAGTTACAGGAGCACAGAGGCTTGGGTGCAGAGGTGTTTGGGGAAGAGAGGAGCTGCAGGGAAACCAAGGGCTAAGAAGCGTTAGAGACACAGGATTGTGTGACGCAAAGAAGTCGGCTGTGGGTTTGTTTACACAGGGATGATGAGAGGGTCCCTTACCCTGATGCAGCGGCCCAGGTAGTTGAAGACAGTGGCCTTTAGCGTGAAGGCCTCACCGCGCACTACGGAGTAGGGCAGGGTGAGCTCCAAGAAGAAGGGCTGGAAGGCTCTGAGGGACACAGTCGGGGACAGGCCAAAGCCAGTGTCGCTCGAGGTGCAGAAGGCGTTGGCTTTCCACTCTGTGATGGTGTCGGGGATGGTCAAGGCCAAATCAGCACTGCCCTCTGAACTGGTGAGACAAAGAGAGATAGAGTCATGATCCCAGCCTAGTCAGACAGTGAAGGAAAACCCAACTGTTCTGGGGAGTGATGTGGGGGCTCAATAGGGGGCTCTCTCCTCCCTAAGTCAGCACTGAACCCAATGCCCAGCGTGGGTGCTGTGATGTGGGCGGGGAGGGAGGGGTGCTATGTTTGCACTGAGCCCATAGTGCTTGGCGTTGAGCCGAAGGAGGCGCTGTCTTGCAGGTAACATGTACAGCTGAGATTCTGGCCCTCTGTAGTCATTAAAACCCCACAACCCTTTTAACAAGGAGAGGGGCTTCACCCCAGTAATCCCTGTCACTGCAATCCAAATGCTTTGATTCCCCTGCAATTTCAGTTGGAAATGGAGCTCGTCTTCCCTTTCCTTTCTAAAAGCTGGTGCAGTGTTGTTCTGCCCTGTAAACATCTGCTACTGAGGAACAGCCAGGTGGCTTAGTGACTCCGTTTCTGGAAAATGAAAGAGGTTCAGTAACCTTCAGGGATTCATGTCATCATCACAAAAACAGTGGACTGTTAAAACAGGAACAGCCAGCTACTCACGTTACAGGCACTAAATCCCAAAGCCAGGTCTCTGGGAAATAATTTCGAACGCTCTCCACCTCTTCTGGAGGAGTGTCATAGCTCTCATCTGGGGGGGAGGGAAGATAACATCCAATTAACATAGGTATAATGCATCAACACCAGCTTGATGCTTCCATCTCTGAGGGCAGGTCAACACTGCACCTGGAGCTGTAATTTCCAGCTTGGATAGATGTACAGGCACTGTCTATGCTCAAGCAAGCATGCTAAAAATAGAAGTGTCGCTGGGGGAGGGGCATGGCAGGTTAGCCTCCCAAGTGCATATGTAGGGTTTCAAGAGGGATCACGCTGGGGTTGATAAGCCCAAGCCCCCATCCACAGCAATACAGCTCTTTGACAGTGCACTAGAAGCTCTCAGTTGGTCAGACCTGAAAAGTATGCCTCCCAATTTAGACACACCCTGGGACACTTTCCTCTTCAGCTTCACTGATTCAATTAGACACTCACCCATGTGTGTGGACACAGAGCTCAAGGGTTGTAGTGCCCAGGAGGGAAAAACCTAGTGGGTGCATAAGGCGTAGCACCCACTTGGGATGTTATTTCACTAGTTCTCCTGTTAGCATAGGCTTTGTCTGGACTAACATTTGTCTCCTTCTGTTGTAATTGATTGCCAATTACCTGGAAAGTGACAGCAAACAGTAATCTAGACCCAAAGTATCAGTATCAAGATACAAAGTATCAGGACATGATGGCTCAGCCTAAGGCAAATCACAAAAACTGTGCCCCAGAACAAACATTTTGGAGAGCTCCAGTTACCAACACCATTAGCATTATAATCAATTAGCTCAAATTATAACAGGACCACCAACTCTAGTCTGGACAAAGCCAAAGCAGGAGTCTCCCAGGCTAGACAGAACCTATATTTCTAATAGAATAGGCAATAACAAATATATCTTCCCTCCCCAAAACAAACACAAACATCTGAACAAAAAACATCCATCTCAGCCTCCAAATCGTTGTGCCTTCTTTATACATCAGAAGAAAATCATAGGCACAATCTCAGTTATTGCCCCTTTACAGATCACCTTTAAAATGAAATGATCCTTTACAGTCCTCATTCCCCAAAATCAAGGTAACTGCTGAGTTGGGGGGAGGAGTGGGGGGTGGTGAAAGATTTGGATCGGGGTTTGAAAACTTTTCCCATTTTGCCATTGTATGTATATGTAAAGCACAGTTCTAGGAGCACATTAGAATAGATTAGGATAAGAAAAAGCTAATTGTGGAGAGACCCTCAAAAAAAATCTCATCTTAAAAATAGTCACAGGGTTTAGTTCAACAGTCAAGACATACGCGGTCATTTAAGTGAGATATAGTTCACTTCTTATAACTTTTTACGCATACTTGAGGCTCGAACTATGGCATGGTGGAGCCAGGTGAAGGGCAGAGCCTGTAGCTAACATGGCAAACCCCTCCCATAGGAGCCTTCCAATCATGCCTCCTCACAAACACCTCTTCCTAAAAAACCAGGGAAATTAACTGCATCAACACCTGGTTAATGCAGGTCTTCTCTACACTACAGTACCTCTGCCAGAATAACTGCGCCAGCTAGACTCACTCCTGCTAGGACTCTTGTCAGTGCAAGAAGTTTTCAGCTTCCTAAGGGCACTGCCACTCTGACATGCTTTTTTTGGCTTGTCAAATTGGGTTTATATCTGCAGGTGAACTCATCAGACTGCTTTCCAGGCTGGTAAACCACCTATGGTTCATCAATTTTATACTCACTTATTTCATTGGGGTTGCTCCTGATTTACACTGCAATGAGTGAGGAGCAAATCAGGCACAGGCACTGAAGGGAAAAAAATAATGGGTGTGGTCAGCACCCACTCCACAGCTGCTCAGCTGGGCTGCCAGCCAGCCGCTCCACAAATGTCAGGAGGCCTTAGGGGAGATTGCATTGTAGTCAGGAAGGGATGAAGTGAGGACAAGGCCTCAAGGAAGGGGGTGGAGTACAGCAGGAGGTGAAGGTGGGAAAAATAAAAGTCATCCCTTCTGCACCCAACTCTGCTGTAGTGGGTAGGTTTGGAATGGAGCGGTCTATGTCTGAAGCATATTTGCTGCACCCAACTCTGCTGTGGTGGGCAGGATTGGAATGGAGCGGTCTATGTCTGAAGCATATTTAAAGATAAACTTAAAAAACAATCAATGGTCTGGTAGCACTTTATAGACTTAATAAACATGTTGATGGTATGAGCTTTCTTGGGCACAGCCTCTTCTTCAGATGACTCCGGTCATGATACCATGGACATGTTTTGTTAGTCTATAAAGTGCTACCAGACCATTGGTTGTTTTTAAAATGTATCCTGCACAGACTAACTCAGCTACACCCTGAAGCTTCTGAACATATTTAAGGGGTCATTAGCACTCTGGCGTGTCATTTTCTGCTCCACCATGATGGCCAAGCCTCAGCCTTCCACATGCTGGCCTAAGAGCTAGTCACTACATCTTTCCCAAAGATGTTAGGTTGGAAAAAATGGGTTTTTGACTCAATGGAAATTCTCATTAAAAAGTTTCTGTTTTCATCAACATTTCTGGGGGTAGGTTGAAGAAAGGGGGTGGGGGAGAGACAATGATTTCTATTTTGGATGAAAATAAGAAAAATCACAAATGTGTCAAAACGATTTTTCCCTTTTCCCTTTTTTTATGTTGGTGTGGGAAATGACAGCTCTTTTTGCTCATCTGTGTGTTAGTATTGTTAAACTAGTTAGTAGAATTATAAAAATATGCTCACTGTTTAGACTTTACAGAATCCACGTAAGCAGCTACAGGCTTTATTCTTATATCTGTATCCCATGTGATAAGGCAGGGGTGGGCAAAATATTTGGCTCCGGCCCACTGCCACCCAGCAGGACCTTTAGGCAAACTCCATGGCTGACACAGCTCCACACACCACTCAAAGTGGCCAGCTGCTGGGGCCAGCATGTGTCTCTGCGCAGTATGTGCCCTTTGTAGGAAGAGGGGTCTCTGTGCCTGCCCCCAACACAATCCTCAAGCCTCCCAGTGGCGGAAACCGACTCTGCAGGTGTGGTCCTTGTGGACAAATGCAGCATGTGGAGAACTGTTGCCCCTGTCCCCTCAAGGGACGCACTACACGGAGAAGCACATGCTAACCCTAGCAGCCAGCCATTTTGAATGGCATACGGGGCCATGGTCAGCAAACAGCCTATCTGAGGGCTCCACTGTGAGCCACCTAAAGTCAGTGCCTTCTGGACAGAGCCTGTAGCTAGCACACCACCTGCTCCCACACTCCAACCCCTTGATCCAGGTCACCACCCACTCCTGCACATAAACCCTCTGCACCCCCTCCTGAATCTAAACTGCCTCCCAATCTACGAACCAACTCCTACACTCCTTCCACAGGTCAGAATCTTCTCCTGCACCCAAACTTCCTCCCAGACCCTGCACTCCAATCCCCCACCCTGATCTTACTCCTGCATCCAAACTCCCTTGCTGACCCTGATCTCCTTCCTATACCTCTGCCCCATATCACAACCTTCACCTGTTCCCAAACACAGGCATGCTCTCTGCTCAGAACAGAACGTGTGTGAGGTCTTTGGCATTTACATTGTGGACTGTAACCTTGTGCACTGAAACCGCCTGCTACGATTCCAGAGGCGGCGGCGGGAATTCCTGCAGCAATTCCATAAGGCCATGCAGGTCCATGGATGAAAAGGCAGTAATGTGGCTTTCTCATGTTGGTGAAGACCTTTAGACCCATCTCCTGTTGGGAAAAACCCAACATACATTTTGTTATTTATTTCTCGTTAGGCTGAAATTCCAGAACTGACACCAGTATTGGGAAGACAAGGTCTTCTTATTGCACCAACTTCTCTTGGTGAGAGAGACAAGTTTACAGCTGACCCCAGATGGCCCAATACAATATATCACCTCACTTACCTGGTCTGTCTAATATCCTGGGTCCAACATGGCTACCTCACCACTGCATACCCCAGGACTTGGGGTTTAATGAGCATGGGAGAAACCATGTCACTTCCTCCCTGGGCTCAGGAGCCTATCACACACAGGTAAGACTATGATTTAGTTACAGAGGTCATGGCAGTCCCAGGTTCTGTGACTTTATCTGACCTCTGTGATTTCTGCACGTCCAGAATCAGAGACAGGACTGTGCACCCCACGCTGAAACTGGGGTTGGCTGGAGCCAGGATCCTGCAGCCCCTGCCCTGTGTCTTCCCTGGGCTACAGTAGGGGTCGTGTATTCCAGCCCCATGGCACCCCAGGCTTGGCAGAAGCTGCAGCCAGGGCTGTGTGCCTCAGTCTCGTGGCTCCACCTGGGATTGCAGCTGGCACCATGTGTTCCTACCTAGCAGCTTCCACCACGGGCTGCTGCCGAAGGGAGGCGCCCTAGGCTTGGTGGGGGCTGCAGCAAGGGCCATACACCTCTGTCCTGCAGCTGCAACAGGGCCCTGTGCCCCCCTCACAGCTTTCCAGGGCCATGCACCTCATCACCTCCTTCCCTTCCCACTGCAGTCGAGCCTTGGTACACTGAGGGCTGCACACCCCGTGCCACAGCTGCAGCCAGCTCCAGAGTGGCTCTCTGTTGCTGGTCCCCTGCTGTGGCCCCTGGGGTTCCATTCCCTCCCACCTTCCTGGCTCCTTGTTATTTTTAGTAAAGTCACCAAGAGGCCACATACAGGTAATGGGCTCCATGAACTGTTGCTTACTGCCCATGATCCGTCCATGCCTTCTACTAAAAATAGCCTTGACAGATCTTAGCTGTCCACACACAGCACAGGGTGGCATGCCGTCTCAGGTCTGGGGCACCGGATGGCTCTGAGGGATAAGAGATACACTCTCTAGGGCACTGGTGCCAACTTCCAGTCCAATCCCAGGTCAGAGGTTGGGGTGAAGCAGGGAAGGACCCCGGAGTCTTGTCTAGATGGGTGGTTCCCAGCTCAGAGAGTGCTTGTTGCTTGTGGGGCATGTGGGTTCTTTCACTTCTAGTCTCAAGTCAGCACTGAGCCCAAAGCTCTCCCGCATACCAGCCATTCACCAGCTCATGGGAAATGAGCGGCAGAGCATCAGGACATTTCCTACCCGTACAGGTGCCCACATCACAAAGACCCATCTTTGCCATAAGCACTGCTACCCATCTGGTGCGCACTCTCAGGAGACTGGCCAAGGATCATACCCCAGGTCAGAGCTGCAGCACCCTGATGAGGGGCGGGGCGGAAGCTGGCACCACCATGGTACTCGCTCCAGCCATAGAACAGTCCTCAGCCCTTCAGAGCAGCTACCCAAGTGCCATATGCCCCACAGCCACACAGACAGGGTGAGGAGATTCTACCTTCATGATGTAAGTATCCTCTTCTTTGGGCCATGACACTGGAGCATAGGTGACTCCGTTCACGTACATCTGCTCTGGTATAATGCACTGGTCCTGGGGATCCTCCGGCAGCATGTCTGTGCCATGGTGGTACCCCTTAAGTTCCTTCACAGGCAGCAGGTTATACACCTGGGCAAACAGAACTGCGTCACATGGCCCCCATGGTACTCAGTGCCATGAAATACTGCGGGGGGAACAGATAGGGCTGTGTCTACACTGCAGCACTATGTTGGGGTACAGAAGTATTCTGAAATAGCTATTCCACGTCTTTTGAGCACACCCGTTATTTCAAAATAGAACGGGCTTGTTATTCCAAAGTCCCTGTAAACCTCCTTGCATGAGGGGACCTTTCGGAATAGCGGGTTATTTCAAAATAAGTGCTGTGCAGACAGCGCCAAATTACAAAATAAGCTCTTTCACAATTAACTCGAAATAAGCTACACATAGCTCAAATTGTGCAGCTTATTTGGAGCTACAGTGCAGTGTAGATGCACCCAGGCAGAGGCAGACAGGCAGATATATATGCAGAGAAGGTGGAGGTGCTAGAAAACAAAGCAAGAGAGATACATACAATACAGAGTGTGGAGCATGGAGGAGAGAAGGAGGAAGCTGCCCTGCAGCCTGGATATTTAAAGGTTCCAGGGCTCCTAGCCATTTAGAAATTTGCCCACAACACCACCCCTCTGGTCCAGGCCCTGCTCCTTCTGGGGGCCTGGAGCTGGATCCCCCTTGGCCCCACAAAGTCTGTCTTCACCTTAAATGCCCAGTTCTCTGCTCCTCACCTACTGAAGAAAGATAAGAGGAGGGCTGGGAGCATTGACACATACACATTGACTGAAGGGATTTTCCCCCCAGTAGTTGCACTTCTCAGCACTAAGTTGGCCTTAATTGGACCAGGCTGCATCATTTTTTGCTACCATGGCTCCTAACAGAACCACTCCTGCATATGCTGACCACGGGACCAGGTTGGACTTACAGAGTTGGGTGAGAGCTCAGTTTCAGGCTTCATAAGGAGGACACTTGAATCCACAGCACGGACGGCACACAGGGAGTCTGGGGAGGCTTTAAACTGGAGCTGAGTGTTGGAGGCTGGGAGACCCTCAGCAGCTGAGAAATGCAAGTCGACCTGCAATTCCAGGAAAAGTCTTAGAGGAGATATTTCCACGAGGAGTACAGCTAGTTCGGATTAGGAAGCCTAATCCGAACTAGCTACTCCGTGCCGCGTGTAGCCGCGCGGCACGGGGTTCGAACTGCCGGCATTTAAAAATGGCGCCGGCCGGCTTTATGCAAATGAAGCCCGGGAAATTCAAATCCCGGGCTTCATTTGCAATTGCGGTATGACTACATTACCCTCCTATTTCGAATTAGGAGGGTAGTGTAGACATACCCTAATGCATTATGGGTATACCAGGAGGGATCTGAGGCATTAGCAGTGTTTCTGGTAAGCTATGTACTTGTGCAGCCACTCAAGAGAAATGCAAATACTGCCCAGATGAGTAGCAGACAGCAACCCATAACAAGGCATTTTGTTTCAATCTGTAGTGCATATTCACACATGCCTTTGTGTACATAACAAAATGTATTCCACACATGAACAGAAAAATCTGCCTGTGGATGTAAAAGATTAAAGAGAACATTATCCATCAAGGATCTTGTTTTACAGCTGCCTTGGTAAAATGAACAGCCTAAGGCCTGGATGCTGCCAGAGCAGAGGCCTTTGATCAAGGCCCACTCCTCACTCAGTCACCTGACAAAAACTAAGCACCCTCTTGTTGAGCTTATGCCAGTGACCCTGCTGGAGGTCCTAGAGTGTGGGCCGCAGGTAATGAAGGCAAGGGAAGGCATTGCCTAGCCAAACAGACATGAGTGCCCTCGCTCATGCTCCACCCCAGGTCAGGCTCCCTCCTACCTGTGTGCACCAGGCTGCTCTTGGCTATTGCTAGCACTGGTTGCTGGAGGGAGAGGAGTGGCTGGGAGTTAGGTCACACATTATGGACACTGGGTGCTCCAGGGCCAAGAAGGCTGGAGCTGTGTGACTTCCTGGTTGCCTGGCACTCTGGGGCCAGGAAGTCTGGGCCTGCTTGGCCAGTTGGTATGGGGAGCCACTTGGCATTGGGCTGCCTCGCATCTCAACATTTAGGGGAGGAGGTGCAGTATCCTTGGGCTGGGACCAGCCAGAACACAATCGGGTGGCCTGGGGATGAGAGGCAGAGATCAGCAGCTACAATGGATGTGGGGTGGGCTCTGGTGGGCACAGAAGGATGGGGCCTTGGGCTGAAGAGGTGGGGCTAGTGCTTACCTTCTTCTTGACCAAGGGAATGGTAGTGAGCTAACTAGACTGTGATCTGGTTACCTGACAAACCCACCTCCTTGCCTTCCTACAGTTGAGAGCAGTGGAGGTGCTAGAGCTGGAGCCCTGTTGGTGCTACAAGGAGGGCTCTTGGCAGCATTGCCATCAGAAATACGACAATTCAATCCCTTTTAGGGCTAGTTTTAATAGAGGGTAAAGTTACCCAGAGCCTTTGGTGTTAAGTGACTGTTTTAATATGTGTAAATCTAAACAAAAACATACAGTTTTTGCTGCTGCTGGTCTAATCAGTGACTTCAGGGAGTGAATTGGGGCTTCTCAATCAAGACACCCACCTTATTAGCAAAGCAATTTTCAACCTGGAATTTGACTGAATCAGCAATAATCTCCTGATGGGGTGAAGTGGTGTATATGAGCATCTGTGCCAGGGGTGCTATATCAGACTCCACAGGGAGCATCAGAGAGAAGGTCCCATTAACTGGCAAAGAGAAGAAGAGAGAAAGTCTGTTACAGGAAGCTGGCTCCAGGCCAGGGCCACAAATCTCTCTAGAGTCTCTAGGCTTCCCTTCAGGCCAAAGTTGTTACTGATGGGATTCCGACCATGGTAACACAAGGAAACTTGAAACACAGTATCTTGATTTAGTGATGAGAACATCGGCTCCTCTTGCCAAAATCTGTATTCAAATCCTGCTTTGGCACATACCAAGTACCTCAGTCTGGCATCTAGACACGTCAAACTGTGTCCCTCGGGAACCCAGAAGCCCCTGGTGCCCCAGAAAATAAAAGGGAGGATTTTGTCAGAGGTGGCTAAGGAAGGGATGCAGACTGAGTGATTGTTCTAATTGTTCCTGCTCTCCAAGGCTATGTCCACACAGCAGAGTTATCCAGGATACCTCCAGTATCCCAAAATAGCTATTCCATGCCTTAAGAGCAAACCTGCTATATCAAAATAGTATGGGCTCACTATTCCAACACCCTGTAAACCTCATTGCATGAGAGATAAGGGACATTTGGGAATAGCACCTTATTTCAAAATAATGTCAAAATTAGCTATGCAATTTGTGTAACGCAAATTGCATAGACTATTTTGAGGTAAGGGTGCTGTGTAGACATACCCTAAGGGTTAAAGCAAACCCAGCCTCAATGATTCAAGAGCCATCTTCTGAGACAGGCACCCGTGACAAAGAATATCTCAGTCAGGACAAAGCTATGAGGGGCTGGAGGGATTACAGCTTGGCTGAAGCTGCAGAGCTAGAATGGCAATAGAGGAAAGAAATCTGCTCTCTCTTCCCTTCCCCTACCCTGCACCCCATCTCAGAGGAAGGCACACGATGATTCTCTCACTGCATGTGGAAGCCTGGTGGCTTAACCTCCTGGGACAGGGATAAGGAAAGGGTGATGAGAGCTCACCATCATTAGACTCCACAGCCAGTGCTTGGGTCCCTGCTCGCACAATGCCTCCTTTGGCCATCAGCTGCATGGAAGAAGAAACTTTCCTGTTATGGGTATTATGGGTAGGAGAGGCCTTAGAATGGGGGAACCTGGGAGATGAATGTCAGGAATACTTAGTATTCTTAGTATACTTAGATTTTCAGAAAGCCTTTGACAAGGTCCCTCACCAAAGGCTCTTGTGTAAATTACATGGCCATGGGATAAGAGGGAAGGTCCTTTCCTGTCTTTTAACCAGTTCTCAATCCAAGAAAGGACCTTCCCTCTTAAATGGTCAGTTTTCAGAATGGAGAGAGGTAATTAGCAGCATCCCGCAGGGTTTCGTACTGAGATTAGTCCTATAAAACATATTAATAAATAATCTGGAGAAAGTGGTAAACAGCAAGGTGGCAAAATTTGCAGATGACACTAAATTGCTCAAGTCCAAAGCAGACTGAAGAGCTTTAAAAGGATCTCGCAAAACTAATTTTCATGTTGATAAATACAAAATAATGCATATTGGAAAACAATCCCAACTATACGTATAATATGATGGGGACTAAATTAGCAGCAGTCACAAAAGCAAACAATGTTAGGAATCATTAAAAAGGGATAGCATTTGT